AGTTGTAAGTCTTTCCAGACCATTCCACATTTTCCGGAGTTGAACAAGTAAGTGCATGGTCAATCATATTTTGACTGGCTAAACTTACCGACCTCCTGAGTCCTCCGATAGTACGTCAGACTCTGTACACGCAGTCCCACCCCTCGTCACACCCAGTTTCTATGGACCTCATTAGTCAGCTTGGGCTCCACTTCTTGCCAAACGTGAATGGACTAGGATCGGAGTGTGTACGTGTCATGAGTGTATTTTCATTCCTAGTTACAAATTACTTACGTATAGATCATTATCCCAAATTTATCTATCAAGTTATACATATATAATTGGACAGGCTTGACGGGACGTTTGGGTAAACGAGAAATCCTGTGCCAAATGAGGTCAACTGGGAATTTCTCGTGCTCCGGGGAAAACGAGAAAATTCTTCACGGGTCTCAGGCGGGTGTTAACAGTTTTTCGTCTCTCTTTCGAGTTCTCCCAAACTTTTAAGGGTGTTTCTATATATTAAGGCAGAGAAAATGTTTCGTCAGTACTGCTTTTATAAAACACTGACAAAAAGAAAGAAAATCACAATAAGGCCTTCTTGATGTTCTCAAACAAATGATTAAAAAGAAAACTGATTTAAAAAGGAAATAGTACCATTCGCAAACTTCAGTGAGCGTTACGGGGATGAGTGTTTTAAATATTTCCACCCAACTGGTGTTACAAAAGGGCATGAACTGTGCCTGGAAAACGACAAGTAACAAACATAACAGGACATGACAAAATAAGGTTAGAATAACAGAACAGACCGGCGACTGATATATGCAATAATTAAATTCCATCTGGCTATTAAAAAGAGCCGAGGGAACGCCCTCTACCGATAGGGGGCGGGTATGACTACCTAAATTAAACTAGTCTATCATATGATCACTAAACTTGAGGGTAGTTGTAGTTCAATTATTTTTTTCGTGATGTGTTGTTAACGTATAATCTGTACAGCGGAATTAGAAAAATTATTTTCATTTGTACATTGCTTATAAGTGCACTAAGTAACTAAACTAAGAAACGTCTTAAATTTTTCCGCATATTTCTTAACCACAGGAACTGCCAAAAGTCCGTGAACTGTTTGACTGAAGTGCGAGCAAGGAACGTATATCAACTATATCATATGAGTAACAATTATTCCACGAGCGCTCGGTAGATATGAGATGATAGACAGCCAACGAGACGCATAACACTGAGTTGGCTATAACCATTTCATCGGTAACAAGCGAGAGTGGAATAACTGTTTTATTAAAAACGCCCCCAAAATGCAGAAAACTAAAATAAAATAAAATAAAAAACGCCCCCCAAAATCACGCATACGCTTATCATGTCGAGCGTGGTATAATTGCTCAAATACCATGACGGACTAAGCCAATGAAAACTCTTGAACTGCATTATCTAATGATGCACTTTTTAATAATTGTGTATATTAACTGAACTTGGAAAATGTCTTCAGGCGTCAATTAGAATATTCATCTAAATGACTCTTAACAAGTGGTTGTTTAAAAAACCAATCATATGACGCAAAAGGAAATATGTGGGGTTATAAATCTCACGATAGACGGCTTACGCGAATTATTTTTAACTTCCATTGTTCAAGTAAGAATATATGCGAATGTTAACAACATCTGCCTGGTTGTATTGAAAGACTGACAGCCGTTAGCGAAGTGTCCATCAAGCCACTATCGCACGTAATGGAAGAAGAAATTTCACTTAACCCGGAAAAACTCGACATAACAATCGCACGGAAAGTGTACGATGAGAACCTTCTGGCCTCAACTCACGGTTACTCAGGCTATGAGGAGTCACGAGACAAGAAACAGTATTTGCGCTCTCTTCGTGAAAAGCTTGCTTCATGTTCATGCTCTGCGAGTGGTTTTTGCTCTCTCCTTGCCCGGCTCGCTCCGATTCTTCGCTGGTTGCCAAAATACAGCGTGAAGAAAGATTTGACAGCAGACTTAACTGGAGGAGTCACAGTGGGAATTATGCATATTCCCCAAGGTAATATTAAAAAATATATTGAGATATGAATGATAAAATAAGTAATACTTAGGGAAAGAGGCGCCAAGTATCATTATCATTCTAATTTTTGTACATGTGTTTTGTTTTGTTCAACCGGCGAAGTTGTTGGGCTTTCATGCAACCTTATTACGTAATTTATTTCACGCGATTTAAAAACTATAATTGTCGCTCGATCGAGAAACCTTGAAATTTGTAGAATTCAACCGAATTGATTCTTTCCGTAAGTTGAAACCTTGTATAAGAGCGAACTGGGAATAAAGTTGGTTAGTATTTTTTGTGATAGAAGTTCATATCCTTGAGGTTATCATTTACTCTTTTTCTTTGTAATATTTTGAAGTTGATTTACAGTTAAATAAAAAGTTGTTGATTTGTCGACGATGGAGGCGATAAAACAATATTGGTACGACAGTAGTACTTCTTTTCAAATTTTGATATTCAATTTGTTTACACGGTTGAACCAGTGGTCGTATTTTGATATAGTGACCGCGTGATGACGAATTCATGATCGTGTGATGAGAGACTCTCTGCCGTTGGGGAAGTTGCTTCACAGTTTGTTTGCAAGTTTGTTGAGTTTCGCACTTTCTAACAAGATGCAATCCAAGATATGTTACAGAGAAGAGTTCAACAGATGCAAAATCTATCGCATGGATGGATTTGCCTTGAACTTGGAACTTTTGAGGAATTTGCAACCGCTGTGCTGCCCCGGGTGTGCTGCAAACTTTGGCCACCCGCACCAAGATATGTTTATCATCATGTGATCACTTTTTTTGAATCACGTGAATGAAACCAACGGTGGGTGAAACGGCCTGAAAAAAATAAAAGCCATTTCAAAGGACGTCTGGGATCAATAGTATTGCTGAAAGTCGGACCCGCACTTAACGAAAAGCGCCCTCATTATATTTTATATCGATCTTCTCGTTCTTACATCATTTGCATTTGTTTGGAATCACTTGCTTTCTCTCTTTCCTTTTTGAAACCATTCGACAAGTTAAGGTTATGAACTTGGATTGGTCAGCCTGCTCAGACGTTGTATGCGATTAATACGTGACATTATGCTCTTAGCGATTGCGTGACAATTTTAGCCGTTTATAAGACAATGTATGAGAATGCTTCGAAAATTACTCTAAATGCTGCGTGTAGAAAACAATTTGAATAAAATGGCTTACCTTATGTTTGCATTGCGTTGTTTTGATGTCTCTGGGTTCCTGAAGGTGGTTTAGAGCCATTTAGGCGAGTTTTACTTTCTGACGGTTTAATTGCTTCTCTTTAGGGGAAGCAAACCGCCAGAAAGTAAAACTCGCCTAAATGGCTCTAAACCACCTCAGCATAATGTCACGTATTAATCGTATACAACGTCTGGGTTGCCTTTGGTGCATTTAGCTGCTGTATTTGTTTTCAGCTTATTTGTTCTCACCTGCAGATGAAGCTTCGCAGGTGTTCTCGCTTCACGCCGGTTTGGTGACAGTAGAATTTACGAAGGTGGAAATCTTAAATTACTCTTTCAGTCAACAAACTGTCAGTTGAAATCCGGACAAACGTTAATTACACCACAGTCGGAACCCTTGTTAAGGCCACCCTCGGGGTATTGGGACGTAATGGGGGCTCGTCAGGAATTAGCACTGGACTTACAGAAACGTCAATTTGTATTTAGTCAAATACAAACAATCCTTGAAGGCTTGTGCTGCACTACTTGTTACACACAATAAAGCCTATCACTGTTTTCCTGATGCACTTGTCACGAAAATACTATCTCCTTTAAAAATTACCATCACAGATTTTTTACCATCAGGTTATTAGTTAGTTACATGGAAGCACGTCAACACAGGCATAATAAACGTTTGTTTGAATGTTTTTCTAATTATCAGTCGACACTTTCTTTTTCGGACGCAAGTCTGTCATCGCCTCTACCAAAACAAAAGCAGACTTCGTGTGTTTAGGGGTAAGGACAAGAAAACCCCTCGTCGGGACGACCAAAAGTTGGCTCATTTACAGTATTTTACGGACAATATTTTCAGGACTTTGAATTGATAACTGGCCACTTAATTGGTGGCTGCTTAATAGAGGTTTGACCTTATCTTTTATAATGTACGATGACTTCATCTCAGCTGATGCCATAGTGTGTTCCGATATATCTGGCGAACATCAGAATAAAAAACACCGACCAACACAGGGCCGGTCTTACTACGTTGTCAGCTTTTTAACAATTTATAAGCTACATCAAGAACCCATTTATTTTAACTGTTTACGACTGAAGTGGGGAAAACATACACCTTGTAAAATGGTAAAATTTGGAAGACAAAGATAAGAAGTGTTCAGATCGATATTTAAATCTCTGTTTACGTAAACTTAATTTAAGAAAAGTAAGATTGTATAATTGATATCGCAAGTAGAACTGGACAGTCTCTCCCGCGTTTAAAACAGCTCTTGATATTAAAAAGATATTGATATTGATATTGCTAAGTCATGTGATTACGTAGATCCGGCATTCAGATTAGGCGTGTTACGTCACTAGCAGGAGTTGTACACGGTATGATGGTCTTCTGCGAGCTCTCGGGCTGTTTAGATCTCTCTACAGATCACTGAGTAAAAAGATGTTTAACTCTCCCCAGCTTTTTCCGCAAAATTGATGGGCTTCGAACCAATTTCCGCTCCACAATTTTCACATACATTGCATGGTAATCGTTGACTGAAACACTCTTGCGCATATAGGCAGCCTCTTACGACTCCTACCTGGCTAATTTCCGGTCGGTTCGAACCTCTTTAGCTTGCATGGCAGCCCGGGCGGGGAGGGGGGGGGGGGGGGGGNGGGTAGTGCCAGAAAAATTGGGTGGGGGTGTGCGGCCCGCTTCCCAAAACCCTTACCTTACTTATGACCAAAATCTGCGATTTTCCCTACCCTATTCAAACCCCTGGTTTTTAGACCTGCCTTATAATTAGCTCCCTAGTTCAGACCAATGTTAAATTGCCGTAAAGATAATTTGTGAAGGGCTTTTGTTAACTTTCTTTTCGATAATGATGAAAAAGCGGCTTCTTCTTGAAAAACATACCCACATCAAGACCAGAGTGCAAAAAAAATACCCTATTTATGACCAAACTCGCCTAAATCGATATCCTATTTATGACTAGATGGCTGAAAAACCATATCCTTTGGGGCCGCACATACCTATATAACCCATATAGGAAAGTACAGCCCCGGGTGTTGCAGATGCTTCCTACAAGAGGTAAATTTCCGTCTGTAACGCGGCTAAACCTCCTCGGCCCTCTGCGCCACTACTAGCTACCGCCAAAGAGAAGAACTCGGAAATGAGACTCAGCTGCCTGGTGGAAGCAGCACAAAGATTTGGGCCAAAAAACGCTTGGGCCAAACGAGAGTAGACAGTTCATCACAAAGTAACTCCCGTTGTGTTGCCGATGGCTTGAATCTGTTGATCTTCATTTTCCGAGCATTAACAGCGACCATACTCTTGATCAGTAACCCGAGTGCGTCCCGAGACAACCCGAGATAAGACTTGTGGTTAGCTTTATCTTTTAACAAATCTTTATTGAGTGTTATTTAAAATTGATATTTCTGCGGGGCGTGAACAACAAACAGGTTGTTTCACTCACGCACCTCGGAAGCGTGACTTAATCGTGACTGTCTCCTGACTTCCGTCAAACTCAGAAACAAAAGACATTGATGTTGTCTTGCGTGACACAGTAGTTGTAGTTGCCGTCATGAACATCAATGGAAGAGGTTTCAATTCATCACCAAACACCAGACATAATCATTGCACGGAAAGTTCGCGATGAATCCTTTTTCGCTGGAACACACTGTCGTTCAAGCTGTGAAGAGTCGGTGAATGTAAAGACCTACTTGCGCACTGTGCAGAGAAAAGTTTCTTCGTGTACGTGTCTGACGGTGAATGGTTTTTGTTCTTTCATTAACCGGCTCGCTCCCGTTCTTCGCTGGTTACCGAAATACAACTGGAAAAAAGATTTATTGCCTGATATAACCGGCGGAGTTACAGTGGGAATTATGCATATTCCTCTAGGTAATGTTATAATTACTCAAACATTAGTCTTGAGTGGTTTTATACAAAGCAAGTCCCACACGACCAGGATTTTTCAATGTCTTGAACGACGACTTGAAATACCTATTGTAGCCTAAATAAATTCATTGTCATTTATCATTCGAAAGGCCCAGAGGGTGATAAAGCTGGTTGCTTTCTTATAAGCTTAGGTTTACGTGTATCAGATTTAGATTAACGTAGATTTACGTGCATCAACTATAAAGACGTAATCTTTTCAATGAACGTTTATGGATTGCTTTGAAAAGCAGTGTAATCTAATATTTTGGGAATATTATCGCTAAAAAGTAACCTTACTGAGCTGTAGCAGTAAAGTGAATGGCACTATTGCGATAACAACAACTGTTACAACAACAATAACTTTGAGTCATTGGTAGCCATGGTAGCCCTCAATTGGCAAAGGAATTCTGGGCGAGCTATGTAACAAGGGATCTATATTATTGAGCTCACCGAAGATACTTACAAATTACAAATTGTACCGCCAGTGTCGGCTTTTACAGTTGTTTCAATTGCTTTTCGTTCTAATCAACAGCATATAAACCTGTGAAATGAATCAGTCGCCACGCTGATACTCCTTTGGTCAAGAATGCGTGATCTTTACCTCTGCTCGCAAAGCAGTTTTATCCGAATCCGTCGTTAGGAAAAAAGATGGCGACTGGTAAATTTACTTAAGGTATCAGTATACCCCAAAATTGACCATTTTTCAAAAAAAAAAATTCTTTTTTCGCTCTTTCAGATAGATCTTATTGCGATCCTTCTTTGAAAAAAAATATGAAAAAAGATTGATTTTGTGCACAGTTACAACGAAAAACGTTTCTTTGCATAATTATCTCTAATTGATAGCTGTCAACGGGTTGTCACGAGAAGTAAACTGGCATTTTAAGTTGCCTGACAGCTGAGATTGGCGGGCGCGTATGAACGATTACCAAACGTATGAACGATTACGACACGGTTTTTTAAAGACATAGCGATGTTGATCGCGTCCTCTCGCTCAAATCCGACCGGAAACGAACTTGATTAGTGAACCTCTGTACTTTGGGGAATGGGGCGCTATATTCGGAATTTTATTTTAGTGATATACCTTCGTAATCTACAATTCTTAGGCTTTCAGAAAATGAGTACTTTACTGGGGTTAGAGTGAAACGTCCGACCGTAAAGCGGCGCCAACGAATGATTGTAATTTGGGTATACTGTAACGTTCTAAAACCTTCAAACCTAGCACACACAATGTCGATAGCACAGTGACAAATACGGCAAAAATGTGGCTTCCTGGTACTTTACGGACTCATTAGGCTCGCATGGTATTGTGTTAAAATATACAGCCTCCATCTTTTTTCCTACGGAGGATTACGTCACATCCAGAAACAGGATGTCTGTGCACTGAACTCATACACCTGCATCATTAACATAACATTACTATGGACGACGGGAAACTTTTTCCAATGGCTACAATCATGCTCTTTAATCCAGAAAGGAAATTATTTTGCCATGACCACCGTTTTGGGGCTGAAATCAAACAGTTCAAACACAAAACGGCAAATTAATTTCTCCTGTCTAATGAGCAGATATTATATCTGGATGTGCAAGTTGAGAGATGAAATTCCCAACCCTCCACAATTTTTGCGCCTCGTAGAAAAAACTTATGAAATCGAAACAAATGAGCTCAACCTTCAACCTGAAAAATGGAAACCTCTCCTTGGCCACTTTTAGAGGGCTAAAGGCACAAAAATTACAAAACTCAAACCGCCTGACCTTCCGAGCAATATTACCATTACTACCATTACCATCATAATTGTTATCATTATTATTATTATCATTATTATTATTATTATTATTATTATTATTATTATTATTATTAAGTAAAAAAATATAGATTGGTACACATTGTATTCTATGATTTAGTGATAATGTAATATTATTTCAGATGTGTACAATGTGGGAGTCATTAAATTCCAGCTTTGGAATGCAAAAAAAAAAAGAAAAATACTATGGACGACAAATGTACAGTCTCTGTTACTTAACCCACGAGCAGGATTTCTATAATTTTTTTTCGACATTTTTATTTTTCAGGACTCGCGTTCGCTATGTTGGCTTCCCTTCCTCCTGTGACGGGACTTTACACCGCTCTCATCCCAGTGTTGGTTTATATGATCATGGGTACATCACGGCATTTGTCTGTAGGTAAGGCTAAAATTCTCTGGTGGTAACCACTCGAGAATATGTTTTTCAGTAGGATGGATCAAAAAGGTCCCACACCCTAGGAAGTACAACGGCTCAGAACATGATCTTCAAAACCCCGTTTTCTCTGCATAAAAACAATTAAAAAACAAATGAATTCCAGACAGTTCTTGGAACGTAACGTCTCATGAACCTCTCGTTTAGATCATTTCAGGCTCTGATTCTTAGAACGTTGACAGTCCAACCCTCTAAAACAGGAAGTTTACCTTACGGCTTTCCTGAACGTCTGTAAATGTAACTGATACTCTAGTTTGTGACGCGATAAAAAGGAGAGAACCGCCCAAAAACGTCTGGACAAAAATCTTGCCTTATCGCAAGGATCAGATACGAAAACCCCCTGACTGATGTACACCCGCTTTTTCATTCGATCATTCCATCTTACACATAATAATGACGTTACTGCAAGTTCTGAATGATGAATAAAATTTCCTTGGCAGTGGGATGAATAACCAAATAAGAAGTTAGTCTTTTAGTAACCTATCGCGATTTCTGATGATAAATTTTAATTCAGTAAAAACTTCTTAGTACCTTCCGTTGCGTTTTGTAATACAGTATATAGCTACGCTCACTATAGTCAATAGAGAGGTGAACTACAGAAAGTCTAAGTGACCCTGATTTAGAAGGTTATTTGCAACATTGATGGACGTTTGCTGTTGTCACGTGACAGGTAGTTTTGCGGTCATTTGTTTGATGGTGGCGCAGGTGGTCGAACGTGAAGTAGGTTCTCTGCCTTTAGAGCCGAGTCCTACTCCTGGAAATTCTTCGATGTCCAGTCCCACCCCATCGGGTTCTGGTGGTGCCTTATGGACACCCATGGACTCAATGAAACTGGAAGTCGCTGTTTCACTTTCGTTGCTTGTTGGCATTATTCAGGTAGCGTGAACTATTTAATGTTTTATTTAGTTAGATCATGTTAAAAAACCAAACAGGCTCCCGGCGAGCGAGGAAAAAAAAAAAAGAATTCGGCGAACGAAGCGCCCGCCCCGCCCCGATCGCTTCGCTCTCCAAATTCTTCAGTTTCGCGCTCGCCGATTTTTTTTTTCTGTCCTCTTCGGGAACCTGGTTGTAGGCTAGTGTAAAGCAGTTCGTGTTCCAATGCTAGTGAGGAGAACAACTTATCTGATTGGCACTAAGTTTCTTGACTGTGGCTACGCAAGATATTATCAAGAGTAAGGCCAAACACACTGCAAACTATTTCAACACAGTACAACGGTAGGCAAAACTGATATGTTTATCGCTAAAAACTAGAAAACAGACGCCGTTGACTGCTAAACATGCTTCGTATTTTACACATAACTCTCGAGAATAAACAACCTTGTGAAAAAACGAAAACGGAGGCTTTTATGTGAAAATAGAGTTATGGAGAGAATCTCTCGTTTTTGTTTTATTTTTTCTTCGGCTAACAACGCTTCATGTATTTCAAACTTTTTCTTATATACAATAGACAAATAACCGGAAACACTTTGTTGTTAGGTTGTCATGGGAGCGGCCAAGCTGGGTTTTGTGGCGACGTTCTTGTCAGATCCACTGATTAGCGGCTTCACTACAGGATCAGCGGTGTTGGTGGTAGTCAGTCAAGTAAAACATATTCTTGGACTCAAAATTCCGAAGATTACTGGACCACTTGCGTCAGTTAAGGTGCGCGGGTATCAGACATAAACTTATTACGTGGTTTTACAGATATAGCCTAGAGCGGTTTTCACCCGGGGGGGGGACTCCGATATGAAATGGACGGGGATGCTCGTCATCTCGCTTAGGGGTGTAAATTTCGGATTTTGGTCTCGCTTAGGGTGTTCTGGGCAAAATTTTATTATTTTTAGCC